CCCTCTCCACAATTCTGTCATTTTGAGAACCTCAGATGAATGGAATCACACAATGTGTGGCCTTCTGAGATTGACTTTCTGTTGTGCAGCGTCACGCCCTTGAGGCCCGTCCGGGTTGTCGCAGACAGTGATTGCTCTGTGGCAGCATGTTCCACAGTCTATCTTGCCATCCACCTGTTGTGATGTGTTTCTTTTTACAATCAACTCCTTGTCTCCTGGTAGCTGGATTAATTCTCTCTCCCTCTCTTGGCTCAGCCTTCCGGAGACTCGGTCACGCTATCAGAGAGCACAGCCATTATTTCCCATGGCACCACTGGCCTGGTCACGTGGGACGCCGCTCTCTACCTTGCAGAATGGGCCATACAGAACCCAGCAGTCTTTGCTCACAGGTGACCTCATGGTGCAGGGCAGGCAGTGGGGCAGGTTTTCCCCAGCACGATCTCAAACACAGGCCCCCTTCTCCCCACAACCCAGGACTGTCTTAGAGCTCGGCAGAGGAGCTGGACTCACGGGCCTGGCCATTTGCAAGACGTGCCGTCCCAGTGCCTACATCTTCAGTGACTGTCACAGCTGCGTCCTTGAGCAGCTCCGAAGGAACATCCTTCTCAATGGCCACTCATTGGAGGCAGACGCCACTAACCCTGAAAGGAACCCAGGACACACCTGTGACTCAGAGAGCCCAAGGGTAACAGTGGCCCAGCTGGACTGGGATGTCGTGACTGCCTCTCAGCTCACTGCCTTCCAGCCAGAAGTCGTCATTGCAGCAGGTACTGCCTCCCCATCCCTGGACGACTGGAGCGGCTCCACCCAGCTCTCAGCTCTGGGAAAGGGACAGTGGGTGCTGCCAGGGCAGAGGAGTGATGAGATTTTTAGAAGGGCCACTGTGGGCTCCAGGGTGACATCAAAGCATAGGACGTGCCCCTTGGAGGCTGTAAAGCCACAGCCCTCCCGTTTGACACAGTGGTTACATGTACTCCCATGCAAATGGTTCCATCAGATAAATGAACCCAGCTTTTCTCAGCAAAGCCTGAGATGGAGAGAACAGGCCCCAGGGCACCAATTAGCCAGGCTGACCTATTAGCACCTGACCTCTTAGCCAGGCTGCAGCAGAGGAAGGGAGATTGTTATGTCGGTCTCTAGAACCAAAGTGAAATGGCCAGAGCTGCTGAACGCCAACCCCACTTGTACCATCACCCAGTCTTCAGTTGTGGGGCAGACATGGCCATGGCAGCCCTGACTTTTCAGGGCCTGGTGATTCTCCCAGGACCATGTCACGAGCACCCAGCCCTGGGCCCGGCCTAGGGTCAGACCACCGTGGTGCTCAAGTCAGGGAATGAGCTCTGAGTGGCCCCCACCCCCTCTGCACACGGCTGTGTTGTCACCACACGTCTGCCCGCCTCTATCCCAGGTCCATGCCCCATGTCATTAGCGGAGATGAGTCCCACAGGAAGAGGACCACCCACTTTGATACAAGGACAGGGTCCTCGAGAGGAGTTTGGCCAACAAGCCCTTTGTCCTCCACCGAGCTCACCCACAGCGGCCTGAGCAGCACCCTCCCATGTAAGCATGCCGACGGGGAGCAAGCTTGTCCCCTGCCCCCCAGACAGCTCACACGGCGGCAGGCCACTGGAAACAAAGTCAGATAGAGAGTCAAGGTGTGCTGCATTAAGCATCTTTTAAACAGACCAAAGGCAAAGAATTGATTTTTTTTTTAATGTTTATTTTTGAGAGACAGAGAGACCGAGCAGGAGACAGAAGGGGTAGAGGGAGAGGGAGACACAGAATCCAAAGCAGGCTCCAGGCTCTGAGCTGCCAGCAGAGCCGGACACGGAGCTCGAACTCGTGAATTGCAAGATCATGACCTGAGCTGAAGTCGGATCCTCAATCAACTGAGCCACCCAGGCACCCCTGATTTTTTTTTAAAAAGAACGTCAGTAGGTCCCAGATACCTTCAATTTGTTGCATGGTCTTTCAGCAGCTTTCTTTCTCTCCCAAGAGTTTTCCTTTTTACTCACATCATCTACTTTGTGTCCAATAGCACGAGTCTAATAAAACTGCTGGTTTCCAGGCTCCGGCCCTACTGCTGAGGTCAGCACAACCAGGCAAGCACTCTTCTAGGCCCTGAATCCTAGAGCAAGCCCCTTTCAGTAACCTGAGGTTTTTCGTTGCAGATGTGCTGTATTGCCCAGAAACTGTCCTCTCCCTGGTCCGAGTCCTGCAGAGGCTCTCTGCTTGCCTGGGGGACCAGCAGGCTCCTGACGCCTACATTGCCTTCACCGTCCGCAACCCAGAGACATGCCAGATGTTCACTAACAAGCTGGGTGAGCCATGGGCCCTGGGAGGGGTTGCTGTCTCTGAGAGGCCACCCGGGCCCCACACAGGACACCAGTGAGGCAGAAATAAGCAAAGTAAAAGAGTGGGGCCCTGGAAACAAACCAGAAAGCCCCACAACACACAATGTGCTGGGCTATCTACCCACCACCCTGCCCCTGGGTGGTCAGCAGAGGAGGCAGGCCAGGGAGCTGTGCTCTGGAAGGAGACAATTTATGCAGCAGTCCCAGAGGTCAGAGCCCCGCAGCCCTACTGTGTGTGTAGAGCCGGTCAAGGATGTTCAGGCCTCTTTCCTGGTAAAATGGAGAGGACGGCCAGTGGGTGTCAGGGTAGGTGAGTTCTGGCCACACAGCGGTGAGGTGCGGGCTCTGGAGCAGATCGCACCACCTGCTCTGGTGAAGCCAGACCACTGCTCGCATCCCAGTCCTCGTCTGTATGGTGGAAACATCCCCCTGGGAGGTGACACGGGGACTGGCATGCAGGGAGCACTCGGGAACGTGGCAGCTGCTGTTGTCGGTACAGTAAGCACCCAGTAAATGGGAGAAGACAAGGGACGCCTCTACCACTTACACCCTCAACAGGCACTGCTGCGGGCAGGCACCTTCCTCAGACCTGACCTGTCAGGAGGCAGGGCTGTGGTGTCATCCATTCTCACCCATGAAAACCCTAGGGTGCAGGGGCCTAAGTGCTTGCCCAAGCTCCAGGCTGCAGCCAGGCAACTGACTCTCGCTCTCCATTCTCCACTCATGCCCTGCAACCCCCGACCACTGCCCTGCAATTCCTGCCATGCGCCAGGTCCAAGCAGCACCTTCCACACAAGACCTGGCAGCAGTGCAGGACAGGGTCCGCCCTGAGCCGCCCCCCAGGCCCTACGGACAGCAGCCTCTGCTGGCAAACACAGACACAGAGGTGACCCAAACACCCTCCATGTGTGTGCAGCCCCACAGACAGTGCCATGTAATGAAGTCCTTCTGCAGACACTATGTGAGAATTACCTACACTGTAGTTTAAGTGAAGAAAGCAAAGTACCCAACACCATATATATGTAAGCTCATTTGTATTTTTAAAAATAATCATCTTTGTGTTAATGTTTATCTAGGGGATAATCTGAAAAACATGCACCAAGAGTTGTTATACTTGGTGGCAGGATACAGATATAGATACACACACACACACACACACACACACACACACACTTTTTTAAATAACCACTAGATCTGGGGCGCCTGAGTGGCTTAGTCGGTTAAGCGTCCGACTTTCGCTTAGGTCATGATCTCGCGGTTCGTGGGTTCGAGCCCCGCGTCGGGCTCTGTGCTGACGGCCAGCTCAGAGCCTGGAGCCTGTTTCAGTCTGTGACTCCCTCTCTCTCTGACCCTCCCCTGCTCACGCTGTCTCTCTCTCTCCTAGAAATAAATAAAAATATTAAAAAAAAAATATTTCTAAATAACCACTAGATCTAACATGGGGCTTGAACTCACAACCCCAAGATCAAGAGTCACATGCTCCACTGACTGGCAGGTGCCCTGACACTGCTATACTTTTATATCTAATATTTCATTTTTATAAACAATTTTTTCATTTTGAAAAACCTGATGACAAAATGATCTTTGCCAAGGGCTCTTGAGACATCTGTGCTTATGAAGAGATGAACCCCTTCTGATGCACATCTAGCCTGTACAAAGATGCGCCAGGCTGAGTGGGCAAGAAAGCCAGACAGGTCTGTGATGGTCCAGGGATGCCCATGGCCCAGAAGGCAGGGGCAGCAAACCTGACTCCTGTGAGTCATTTAAAAACTCAGTTCTTAGGGCACCTGGGTGGCTCAGTCGGTTGAGCACCCGACTTCAGCTCAGGTCATGCGGTTTGTGGGTTCAAGTCCTGCATCAGGTTTTGTGCTGGCAGCTCAAGAGTGTGGAGCCTGATTCGAATTCTTTGTCTCCCTCTCTCTCTGCCCCTCCCCACTCATGCTCTGTCTCTCTTTCTCAAAAATAAATAAACTATACAGCCCTACACTGTATGGGGTGGGGTCGTGTCCCCAAACCCCACCTTACTGAGACACATATTCTATATTTCCAGGCAGTGCTGGGATCCCTTGGGAAGCCGTGCCTCATCATGACCAGAAGCTGTTTCCATATGAAGAGCACTCGGAGATGGCAATTCTGAAACTAACTCTGTAGGTTTACAAATGTTTTTAAAGATTAACATGAAAATTAAATCACCATCCTGGAAAGAATTTTTACCTGGGAAAGCTGATCAGCTTTTCACTGAACTTAAATGCTTGAAGAATGTTAAATTCAGGAGGAGCCTGGGTGGCAAAGTCGGTTGAGCATTTGACTTCGGCTCATGGTTCATGGGATTGAGCCCCATGTCAGACTCTGTGCTGACAGCTCAGAGCCTGGAACCTACTTTGGATTCTGTGTCTCCCTCTCTCTGCCCCTTCCCTGCTCCTGCTCTGTGTCTTTCTCTCTCAAAAATAAATAAACATTTAAAAAACCTTAAGAATGTTAAATTCAGAACCACAAACTGTATTCTAATAAAATCTATTCAAGCGGGTGCCCCTTTCTGTCATGAGTTCTGGCTCTTAAGCAAACCTCCATTAATCAAAAATTAATTTTTGGCTCTGAAACAAATATTTCACTTGGGCAAATAAAAACACAGATCAAGTATGTTTCCCCCGCCAGAGCCTGGACCCACGTCTGTCACGGAGCCAAGCGTGTTGTACATGTGGCATGTCTTATTACCCTTACAAGGCAGCAGGCTGCAGTGGCTGTCCTCAAGGCAGGAATAACAATATTAGGGACACAACAGGCAGATGCTGGGAAAGGCAGACACCGTAACAGGCCTAAGAGTTGTTGACGATACCATGTGCAAATAATGGGAAAGTAATAATACCAAGGGGAAAGAAAGACTCAGATCAGGAGAGAGAAGTGATTGAAAGCCTCAAGGGAGGAAACCAGGCTGAACCAGTTTCCAGGGCCACAAACTCTGGGTTATAAAAACCTTTCATTCTACAGCCGTACTTCCAGCTTCTGTCCACTGGGAGGCACTGCTCTAAAGCATTTGTCCAAGGCCAGGCAGGCTGGAAGAAGCTAAAAGGAAATGGGCCTCTCTAAAAAGCTCTCATTCTTTGGCCCAAAGGGTCATGTGTCCATCAACAAAGGGAGCACCGTCTGCTTCCAGCTTTCATCCCAACGAAGCTGCTCTGACTCCCGCAGGTTCTGCCGGAACTGGCTTAGTTTGCCAGCAGGATCGGGAAACGCTGAGAAAAGCATCTAGAAGAAAAATAAAGACTTGAACCTACCTCATCACTGCTTCCCACCCCAATCCCAGATCCCACCCGAGAGCTGTCCCTCCTCCTTCCCCGCAGCCAGGACTCTGGTCCTCCTCCAAACACAGGCAACCTGGCCAGTGATCCTACTGAAACCCTCTAGAGGTCGCTGCACTTGAAGAACCACTACCGGGCGCCTGGGTGGCTCAGTTGGTTAAGCGTCCGACTGTGGCTCAGGTCATGATCTCATGATTTGAGGGTTCAAGCCCCACATCGGGCTCTCTGCTGTTAGCACAGAGCCCGCTTCAGATCTTTGGTCTCCTTCTTCCTCTGCCCCTACCCAGCTTGCATTCTCTCTTTAAAAGAAAAAAAAAAAAAAGAAGAAGAAGAAGAACCACTATCAGTGTCCTGGAGCTCCAGCAGACCTCCCTGCTCCGACCAGCTTCCACAGCAGGCTTGACTTAATTAAGTGTTCTCAGACACAGCTCTGACTCAGATATCCCCCAGCCAGCAAGCCCCTTCCTCATGGGGCACAGGAGAACCCCCACACCCTGGCCACGCTCCGTCCCCTTCTCTGCTCCTGCTTGACAGTGCAGCCAGGCCGCAGCATCTTCCATCCACACGGTCCACACACTGTGCCCTGCTCAGCCACAGGCCACACCAGCAATGTTCTGTCCACCAAGAGCACCTACCCTCAGCCTCTGCCCAGCACCACCCAGCACCATCCAGCCCACATGTTGGAATTAGGCAGTCTGTCTGCCTTCCACCTTTGCTAAACTACATCAGGAGTCTGCAAACTAAGCCCGTGGGCCAAATTCAGCCCCCAGCTGTCTTTGTACATACAGTTTTATTGGAACACAGCCACACTCTGTCATTCACAGACTGTCCATGGCTGCTTTCATGTTACAGAAGAGACCATGGCAAAGCCTAAAACTTTTTCTATCTGGGCCTTCCCAGAAAGTTTGCTGCCCTTGGTATCAACTGCCAAGAATGATGATGTATTACTTTTGTAGTTAAGTACCCTTGGAAGACTCCCACTCACCCCCAAGGCTGGTTCAGGAAGCCCCCTTCATTCATCCCTCCTACTCAGAACCAGTTGCTCCCTAAACAGAGCACACAGTCCACCAGCTCTGGCATCACCTGTGTGGTGTAAGCTCCACAAACCCAGAGGGCAGTCGGGGCACATCCAGACCTCCCTGAGTCCCCAGCCTCTGAGACCACTGCTCCCGGCCTCAGCTTTCACCCAGATCCAGCCTGGCCAGCCACAGGAGCAAAGAATCAGGGGGCGTGGCTCGGTGCCCTGACACGGGGGCAGAGGTGGCTACCTGCAGCTGAGCCACCAGCTCCTCTGAGTCCTCGAAGACCAGGCCATTCTCCTCATGTTTCACAAGCTCATGTAAGCTGCAGAGAGACGCACAGAACTGAGCTGCCTGGAGAAATCGGAACCCTGTGGTGCCCACCCAGACTCCCACGCCACCCCTCCCACAGGCCAGGTGGGGGTCAGGAACAGTCAGCCTGCTTTCAGTGAGTCTTAGATTTAGCGTCTGAATAGAAAAAAGGCCTGGAGGGATACACATTAAAAATCCAAACTGATTCCAAAAAGGAGGTACAGAAAATACACACTTGAGCTTTTCTGCTGTATGCTCTTTTCAGTGACTACGTGCTCAGTGAGTCCTCCATGTTTTTCTTAATTGCACAGCAGAGAAACAAGGTGAAAGGCAATCCCACTGGAGGTAGACTTGGCACATTAAGGGTGACTTTTCCGGGTCACCAGGGAGTTGATGCCAATGTGCCCAGAGCTCAGGGACTAACAGAGGCTATTTCCCTTTCAGAGGCTGGCTCCTAAGCTGGTGGTGGAGCTACTGTGTCTAGAACTTCTTCTAACACCACCCTTTCCGAATACCCATCTTCACCAGGAAGAGTGGAGACCGAGAATTACACTCTTTTAACGGGTTCCAATTCAACAATATGAGCTCAGAGAAAGAAATAAAACCATGTCAAATGTGTGGCCAATATCAGCCACCCATCTGTCCGTGAGCACAGGCCCCCTAAGTAGAGTAGTTAAGACACAAGTCTTCTATTTGACATCTGCTCTAAGTGGAAGCCCACTCCTTCAGTAGGGTGCAGCCCACCCACAGAAACCCCAAGGGCCCTCCTCCCGAGGACCACCCGGCAATGCTGCATGATTTTCCAGGGCAATTCCTTGAGCAATTCTGACCTCACTGGCAACTCTTCCCCCCCCCCCCCCCCCCCCCCCCCCCCCCCCCCCCCCGGTAAGATTCATGCTCCTACCACTGGAAGTTCACAGCACACACGGGCAGACAGCACCCAAACATGTCCACCACCTTCATGGGCAGGTCCAGGCCGCTGGAGGATTTGTGCAGGCACACACCCAGGTCTGCCGACCCTGCGGGGTGGGGGCAAGGGGGGGTGCTCAAAGTGCTGCCCATGCACCCCTGGAACACAAACCCGGAAAGGACTGGAGATCAACACCCCCAGTGGGGAATGGGAAGGAGGTACTAACGCCCCACAGACTGGAGAAGGGCAGGTACAAAGCAGACCTCCCCAATTGCCAATCCCAGCCACCTGGCCCTGTTTGAAAACTACCTGCCTGTCACGAATAGTTTTCTTTAATCAGACCCCCTTCGTCTACTTAACCAAAATTTATTTTAAAAGAACCTGTAGGGGTGCCTGTGGCTCAATCAGTTAAGCATCTGACTTCGGCTCAGGTCATGATCTCGCCATTCGTGGGTTCGAGCCCCACGTCGGGCTCTGTGCTGACAGCTCAGAGCCTGGAGCCTGCTTCAGATTCTGTGTCTCCCTCTCTCTCTGCCCCTCCTCTGCTTACGCTCTGTCTCTCTCAAAAATAAACATTTTTTAAAAAATATTTTAACTCATTTAAAAAAAATAAAAGAACCAGGGGCGCCTGGGTGGCTTAGTCGGTTAAGCGTCCGACTTTCGCTTAGGTCATGATCTCGCGGTTCGTGGGTTCGAGCCCCGCGTCGGGCTCTGTGCTGACTGTCGGCTCAGAGCCTGGAGGCTGTTTCAATCTGTGACTCCCTCTCTCTCTGACCCTCCCCTGCTCATGCTCTCTCTCTCTCTCTCCTAGAAATAAAACTAAAAAAAAATAAAAATAAAAAATAAAAGAACCTGTAGCAATTATTGCTTAATGGGTTCAGAGTTTCTGCTTGGGGTGATGAAAATATTTTTGAATGGACAGTGTCCATGATCATACAACAATGAACGTAATTAATGTCACTGGGTTGTGTATGTACTTAAAAATGGAGAAATCATTAAAATAGCAAATTTTTATTGTTCATGTTTTATCATAGTAATGAGGGGGAGAAAACCATAGCCGACCCAACAGAAAGCCAGCTGTCACTATGAAAATAAAGCCAAATAAACAATCTCACACCACTAAATACTGGCCAGAAATTCCTGTCAACCAAAGACTTTCTGCTGGAGACTGCTCACTGGCTGCTGGAAGATGAGGCCTTGGAGATACATGGGCACCAAGCCAGCACATCCCTCCCAGAGAAAGGAAGGCAGAGGAAGCCAGGGGAGTCAATGCTATTTAACGTATTATTTCTACACATCCCAAGCCACTGCCCTCCCAGACTTGGGGAACACAGACCCCAACCCAAGCCCAGAACCAGCCCTTCTGCCCACATGGAAAAGTATGACTGAATGGAGGGCTTCGGGATTAAGAGGACAGAACCTCTCTGATTCCTGGAGAACAGGTCCAGGGCCCGCAGGCGGGAGGAGCCGGCACACCAGGAAACAGCCTGGGACTCCCCAAGTATAGCCAAGAGCTCCTCCGACAAGTTCCTGGCACGTGGGCTCTCCCTGCCCCATGAGGCCCTTGAGCAGGGCCCAATCCAGGCTGAGGCCTGTGTGTGTACAGCCCTTGGGCTAAAAATGACATTTAACTTGTATAGCATTGTAAAAACAAAGAATATACAACAGAGGCAGATAAAACACTTACTATCTGGCCCTTTTCAGAAAAACCATCCCCCGTTCCAGAGGATACTCCCATTTAACCCTCGGCTTGTAGGTCCCCTACTAGATGCTCTTACCTAGAAGCAGGGGGTAGTCCTCAGCCTCCAGCCATGGAGTACAGACCTGGATGTGCTGGAAACACTTCTGGCCGATGAGGCCAGTGTAATACTCCTTCAGAGGTCCTTTGCCTTGCAGAGAAAATCTGAGTCACTGCACTGGGCCCTTCTCTGGCTCCATCCCATGACCTTGAGACTCAGAACCCTTGCACAGGTGTGAGCAGAAGGCCCACATTCTGCAGCTGTGACCGGGTCCCCATGTGGCCTCTTCCAGACCCCTCAGGGGTATGCACCCTGACCAATGAGGCCACGGCCCTTCTCCCAGCAACCTGCACCAGTGGGCTTCAGGCTGGGAAGGTGGCCAGAGTGCCAGCTGGATACAACTTCTCACCCAGACTGGCCTGTGTGTCTCCTGATGGCCCAGATGGCACGGGGTGTGCAGTGGGCTCTAGTCACCCCTGGGAGCCCGGGCCCAGGAGGATGGGCATACGCAAGATGGGGCAGCTGGCCCAGGACACTGTTCCAACCACAGCTGTCTGTTTCTCTCTCTCTCCCCAACTGGGCTACTCTGGAAGCAATTTTACATTGAGCTCCTTAGTTTAATGTGGACTCTTAAAAAAAAAAAAAGAAAAAAAAAGATGCCTGGACCCCACTGCAGAAGTGGAAGGCTCAGTATCTCTGAGGCCATGCTATCCAAGAGTCAACTAAAACCATGCCCTGCTGTCAGCCCCTCTGAGCCTCAGTTTCCTCCTCTTATCAAGCTGGTATAGAAAACCCTACATCACAGAGCTGTGGTCAGGCTTAACAAGACAACCAACATCACATGACTGGCATGGGGAAGGCACACAATAAAGGCAGATGCCTTCAGCTCCCTCTACTGCCCCCACTTGATAGGGGAACATGGAAGGTCCTTTGGCGATACCTGTTATCACACACACCAGAGAAGGAAGGCTCTCTCCATCCAGGATCAGCTGTTCAAACTCTGTATATAAAAAAATAAATGATAACCAGGATTATCTAGTCAGGTGAGGAGCTGATCACAAGATCAGTCTCCCAGAGGTGGCACTTCAGATCTAGGGCCTGGTCACCCAAATGGGGACTCAGAGCCACCACCTCCACCACCCATGTTCTTAGGATGGCCCACCCAGTGGCCCTGGGGGCAGGAACATGCTGCCGAGGAAGCCATGCAAGGCCAGGTGAGCAGCTCACGGCTCAACAGCCCCAACAAACTCAGTTCCTGATCAAAGCCACACACCTACTTTCTAATGCTGCCAGCAGGATGGAGAAGTCTTCATCCTCTATAAGAAAAGAGACCTAAGGGTCACGGGCTGGTTCTAGATGCCTCCCCTCCCAGCTCAATTCCCTCCTCTTTCTCATCAGGGCTCCAATGTCCTTAAATACATGTGGGGCAAGGGCAAGGATAATGCAGGCTTAGCCAGGTGCTCATACAAGCCCCAAGTGCCTAGAAGGGTCCTGAGACCTGTCCAGCTCGTGCTGCTGACCAACAAGGCCGGCCGCCCACGAAGATGTGTCACCACCCCACTCCGAGCATCCCGCTCTGTGAAGGCCGACCTCTCTGTGTCTGGGTCCAGGGGTTCTGAGCTGCAGGAACAGAAACAGAAGCCATGTGATGGTACCGAGCAGGCCCTCGGGCCCCAGTGAGTCATCTCCTACCAGAGTGAAACCCGCAGGCCCCCAAAGTCAGGCTGTGGCCATGTCAGAACCATCATCCAATCTCTGTTGCAAAACTCCCCTCTGTTCTTGCAGTGCAAAAGCAGCCAGGGACAATGCATAAATGGATGAAAGCGCTGCACGGCAATAAAGCTTTATTTACCAAGACACGTGGCAGGCCTGTGGTCAGAGTTTGCCAACCCCTGGATGAGTGGGTTCCCAGGTCTGCAGCCAGAAGACGAGAGAGGTCAGGCTAGCAGTGAGGAGACAGGGGACACGGGGCAGCGGGGACATGGGGGAGAGGCCAGACAGTAGCAAGCACAAGAGAAGGTAGATAAAGACTAAGGATGGGAGACCTACCGAGCCTTGAATGCAGAGTAGGTGCAGCCCAGCTTCATAAAGAGCCGGTGTTGCAGGTCCAAGGGTGTCTCTTTAAAGAAAGATGCTGGCTTGTCATAGACGGTCACGGCTCTGCAATGAAATCATTGAGGGCTCTAGAGAGAGCTGGAAAAGCCTGCGGAATATAAGGTCCAGGAGGATCCAAAAATAAGAGCACTGAGCAGATCCAAGTCTCAGACAAGGACAAGAACTGCTTGGGGAAACACAGAGACACGTTCTAAAACCAAACCTGCATGGGCCGTCTGGCCTCCCTCCTCCTCCTCCCTCGGATTCCCAAAACCAGTAGCCCTCTCCCAGACCCCTGGGGGTTTCCAGGCACCCTGCCAACAGCAAACAGGCACTGCAGCTGGGACCCCTCGCCTCCCCAGGCCCCTACTTGATGCCCCAGTTCTGTGCCAGATCTTTCCGCATCGAGTTGGTCACACACAAGTTCAGGTGGGACAGGCGCCCGCAGAGCTTCTCGTACCTGAAAAGACATATCACTGTCAGCCCAGGTCTTGGGCCCCACCACCACCACCACCACCTCCTCCACATGACTTGACATCTTCCACTGCAGAAGAGCACAGAGCTGGGGACTCCCAAATCGGCTTGCTGTTGAGGCACTTTCCCAGAGTTTGTGCTGAGTTCCATCTGAACTATTATTTCCTTTACAGCCTTCTTTAAGTCATATCGCTTTTCAGCTTAAGTATGGTTAGAAACCTTATCTCTACAGAAGGGAAAATCTAGTGTCTCTCGCCACAAGAGAAAGAAATATAATAAAGGCCTCGTTATTAAATCTTAGCCCCACCACACTCTTGCTGCAATAGCTGTGAGGCTGAGGCTTGTGCGCTACCAAAGGATGGTTTTAAAAATTTTAAAGAGGCCTTAGTGACAGATTAGCTCCCAGCTGAGACTTGAGCCTTGATCGGAAGGCAGAAGTGAAAGAGAATCAGAAAAGGGAAGGAGCACGCAAGGTTGTTCCACACCATTGGTGTGTCACAGCCGGTTCCTCACTCAGGATGCAGAGAAGGTGAGAGAGATGGACAGCCTGGGACTGAGTTTTGATCTGCATGCAATAATATCAGCTGTGTGACAAGCAGCAAAATGGTGCTCGACCATGGTTTCCTGGCTCTTGTAAACAGAAAGTAACCACAGAACATTCTCACCAGTGGAAATATAGACTGAAGAGGATAAAGGGCTTAGCCTGAAGCCTGGCATGCAGCAAGTACTCAATGATCATTTGCTGCTGCTGCAGCTGTGACCGCCCTCAGTGAATGGCCCACCAGGGAAAGGCGGCAGATGTCGCCCACTCATGCTCAGAACACGCCTCTTCCTGCTCCATGTCCAACCTGCTCCCACAGACCCTTCTTCCCTCTCCCTGCCTCACTGGCTGCAGCAGCCTGTTGCCTGGGTCCCCATCATCTAACAGCAGCCTCAGTTTTTATCTGGGCATCTCATCTGGGTACAGCTGGGACCCCCGGTCTCACAGAGGAACACTTCCCCAAGCCTGAGACATTCAGGGTACTGCAGCCCCCGGACCTCAGTGGGGTGTCAAAGCAGGAGCAGGGGAGCACAAGCCAATCAAAGAGAGTCTATTTCCCCACTGAGCCCCCAGCACCAGGAGGGAATATGAAGAGAGAAATGACAGGGGGTTCTGACGACACCGTTTTGGGCTCAAAGTCAGTCATGTCTCTGGACTTTGCAGTTTTAGGGACCAACAAATGCCCTCCTTGCCTTAGGCTGTTTCTGAAGCTTGTAATCCAAGTCGGCCTAATTCTCCAGCCTTGCCCTTACCCCCAAAGAGCACACAGGGGACCAGCTTCACCAGGTCTCTGCACTGGCCCTTCTTCCTACCAAGGTTCAGGGAAGGTGTCTGCACCCTCTTCCCAGACCCTTACCACTTGGCCAGCAGAACAAGCCCGTGTCTGGGGCCATGCACCAGACCCATTATGGAGTAGCCGTAGTTGTGCCAATCGATGATGAGCTTGCTCCCACAGAGGTAACCCACAAACCAGCAGACAGCAATGGCAGGCAGGCCCGGGGGGTTCTGAGAAAGAGACACTTGAATGAAGAGAAGGAAACCCATTCCACGGTCAACAATAAATAAACTGAGTGAAAACAGTTGCAACATATACAACAAAGAGTTGATTTATCTTTACAAAGCTCTTGATAATTAATAAGACTCTCTTCCTCACCAAAAAAAAAAAGTATAAAAAGTCACACAGGAAGGGACACCTGTGTGGCTCAGTCAGTTAAGCATCCAGGTTGGCTCAGGTCATGATCTCTTGGTTTGTGGGTTTGAGCCCCACATCTGGCTCTCTGCTGAAAGCTCAGAGCCTGGAGCCTGCTTTGGATTCTGTGTCTCCCTCTCTCTCTGCCCCTCCCCCGCTCATTTTCTCCCTCTCTCTCTCTCCCTCTCTCTCTCAAAAATAAATAAACACTAAAAAAAGTCATAAAGGGAATAAAATTGACCAACTTGAAAAGCCCAAGACCATCAATAATCAAGGAGACAAAAAAATGGCCAAAGAAGTACATTTTTCACGTATCAGAATATAAACTCTAAAACACCTAACAACAGCTAGTGGTGGTGAGGAGATGGCAGAAGAGACATCACCACTGGGCGGGAAATAAATTGGACCAACCTCATTCTAGAACTATCCAGTAACACACCACAACATTTAAAAGTGCATGAACTCTGGGGGCACCTGGATGGCTCAGTCAGTACAGCACATGACTCTTAATCTCAGGGTCGTGAGTTTAAGCCCCACACTGGGCATGCAGCCTACTTATAGAAAAATAAAAAGTGCATGAACTCTGGGGTGCCTGACTGGCTAAGTCGGTAGAGCATGTGACTCTTAATCTCAAGGTCTGAGTTCAAGCCCTACATTGTGCATGAAGCCTACTTTAAAAAAAAAAAAAAAAAAAAGTGGGGCGCCTGGGTGGCTTAGTCGGTTAAGCGTCTGACTTTCACTTAGGTCATGATCTCACGGTTCGTGGGTTCGAGCCCTGCATCGGGCTCTGTGCTAACTGCCAGCTCAGAGCCTGGAGCCTGTTTCAGTCTGTGACTCCCTCTCTCTCTGACCCTCCCCTGCTTGCGCTGTCTCTCTCTCTCCTAGAAATAAATAAAAGACATTAAAAAAAAAAAAGTTTAAAAAGTACATGAACTCTGACCAAGCATAGGAATTTACCTTACAAAGAAACAACAAAACACATATATTCACTGATGCTCTTTGCTATGCTATTTGTAAAAGTAAAAAATCTGGAAGAATCTGAAGGTCCACTAAGATGAGACTAAACTAGGGGCACCTGGGTGGCTCAGTCAGTTAAGGATCCAACTTCTGCTCAGGTCATGATTTCACCATTTATGAGTTCGAGCTCCAGCATTTCCTACCTGTGTGAAACTTACAGAACTGTGGGCAACTTACAGAACTTCTCTGGGTTTAGGTTTCATTATCTCTATAATGTAGGTAATCTAAAAACCTGCTTCTTAAAATTGTTGTGAAGAATTAGATGAGTTAATACAGACACATATGTAATATGTAATAAGATATGTAATAAGTAAAGTGTAAGACTCTATCTGTAATAACACAGAAAAACAGAAATGAGTAAGTACCATAAATACAATGGAAACATACCATAAACTTCTACTCACGTTTTTAAAAGTGTATACACACACACAAATATGCAACTGATTTACCAATTTATGCATTCTTAAAGGGGGGTGGGGCACGTGGGTGGCTCAGTTGGTTAAGTGTCCAACTTCAGCTCAGGTCATGATCTCACACTTTGTGAGTTCGAGCCCCGCATCAGGCTCTGTGCTGACAGCTCAGAGCCTGGAGCCTCCTTCAGATTCTGTGTCTCCCTCTCTCTCTGCCCCTCCTGCACTCACATTCTGTCTCTCTCTAAAAATAAATGGACATTAAAAAATGTTTAATAAATAAATAAAATAAAAGGCTGGGAAGTAAAGGAAACTTAACAATGGTTCTGACAGAGCAAGGGGAGACTGACATTTACCTGGAGAAAGATGTAGGCTGCTGGCTCCCTGCACATCAACTTCCACAACAAGTGCACTGATTGAAAAACAACTTTGACTCCATACTGAAAAATGTGGGGCCCAACTGCAAGTCAAAAACCACCAGTTACTCCAAAAAGAATTCTTGGCAATGTGCAGATCCTCCTCACCCCACTCCCCCCCACCTCCACTGCCCACAGATTCAAAGGAATCTGGAGTTGACTGCATCCTACCTGCAAGTTTCCGAAGTTCTGTCAAACTCACAATCTGAATTCTGTTGTTCTGCAAGAGCTCATCATAGGGTCTGGAGTCTGAAAAGAATGTCCCCTTCAATGCACTGGACAGGGCAATATAAAGTCAGATAGTCCCCCAGCTCAGGCTGAATAGTGAAGAGTGTTTCTGGAAAATAAGGCCTTTCTCTCTATTCCTCCATAGCCAGAACCCAGCATGAGCACACTTCTTGTCCAGATTCTTCACAGAGAGGGAGGGCCTCAATCATGTCCACCTTTATTTACTTAACAATGCCTGGCACATAGTAGGCACTCAAAATAATCGGGGGTCCCTGAATGGTGGATTTATCCCACCATATGGAGACCCCTAGGAAGTCCCACCCCACTCCTGCACCCTCGGACAGCAGGCTCTAAACAGGGACCACCTCACTCCTGCACCCTCGGACAGCAGGCTCTAAACAGGGACCAAAGGCAACTAGTGCTACTCCCCCTCTTCCCTAACACACGGTTGAGCTACCCTCTAAATATTTCATCCTGGAGGAAGACGAAGGAGCAGACACTCCTGCTTCAGCGCAATGAGAGTAAAAGCTGGACATGCAGCACAAATGAAACCTCCCCTGCCTGCATGGCTCCGCACTGAGGGTGTGGAATGGACAGGAAACAAGCAGTTATGAGACACAGCCTGACAACAGTGGCCACAAGGAGCTGTGGTTACCAGCACTAGCCCGAGTCACACCCTGGCTTCCAGTTCGTCCTTCCACTGACTAGGATGATTAAAAGTGAGACGGTGCAATGAGTTCACTTAACTTCGCACACTCCGCGCCTTTAGCGGGCACTCCATTAACGCCAGCTGTTCCTAGAGACCCAGCCAGCAGAGGCTGGGCAGAAACCAGACCGTCTAGGACAAAACCAGAGAAGCCCAATCTCCGAGAGCGGTCCGAGGCAGGAGGGAGGAGAGGGGCGTCCCCGTCCCGGCGCCCCTGGGCCGGTGAACGCCGCGGGTCAAAGGCGGAGGGTTCAGCCTCCCTCCCACACCCCCAACACTCACTGCAGAAGCCCAGAAGGGTCACGGAGAAGCCGCTCTTGACCAACGACAGTGCGTGGTACTGCATGCGGGGGCTGCGGCCCACGTCGCCCAGCACCACAATGATCACGTGCCGACCCGCTCGCCCCCGCCGCCAGCGCTTCCACGCGACCAGCAGCAGCAGCAGTAGGGACGTGGCCGTCACCAGCGCGGCCAAGCAGGCAGGCGCCATCTTGGCGGAGCCGGATGGCAGTCACGTGACCGCGCCCTGCGGACGGGGTGCGCAAAGCGCAAAGACGCGGCCTCCGGAGTGGGCGGGAAGAAGGGCGCTGGGGATGTGGTTCCGAGGAGCCTGTCGGGGGCGAAAATTAGTGATATTAAGGGGCGCCTGGGTGGCTTAGTCGGTTAAGCGTCCTACCTTCGCTTAGATCATGATGTTGCGGTTCGTGGGTTCGAGCCCCGCGTCGGGCTCTGTGCTGACTGTGCTTCAGTCTGTGACTCCCTCTCTCTCTGACCCTCCCCTGCTCACGCTGTCTCTCTCTCTCTCCTAGAAATAAATTTTAAAAAAAAAATAGTGATATTAAGGTAAAGCTTTTACCATGTAAGGATCGAGGAACAATTTTTTTCAAAATTCTAAAATAATTTCAAAATGCAGTGAAACAACAATTTGTATGGCTGTTACCGGCATAATGTAAAGAAAAGAGGCCAAATGCCGGAGTACCCACTGGCTCCATGTATATAAAATCAAAATTAACCTTAACTGTTAGAAGTCAGGAGAGTGACCTGCCTTGGAGGGTCGGGGATTGAGTAGGAGAGAGCCAGTGCGAAGCTGGTGGGATAGCACTGCTCGGGTTATCTTTTTTGACCTGGGCGCTGATAAGGTGGGGGTGGTCCTTTTGAGAACATTCATCAAGCAGCAAACTTTTTCATTCTTCAGGATGTTATATTGTACTTGAATAAAACATTTGTATATGTGTGTGTGTGTTTAATGTTTATTTCTCTTTTTGAGACAGATAGAGGGTGAGTGGGGGAGGGGGAGAGAGAGAGAGAGGGCGACTCCGAATCCGAATCAGGCTCCAGGCTCTGAGCTGTCAGCACAGAGCCAGATGCAGAGCTCGAACCCAGAAACTGTGAGATCATGACCTGAGCAGAAGCCAGATGCTTAACCAATGAGCCACCCAGGTGCCCCTTGAATAAAACATTTAAAATATAAAGAAGAAGGAGGGCGCCTGGGTGGCTCAGTCGGTTAAGCATCCGACTTCGGCTCAGGTCATAATCTCACATTTCGTGGGTTCGAGCCCTGCATTGGGCTCTGTGCTGACAGCTCAGAGCCTGAAGCCTATTTCAGATTCTGTATCTCCCTCTGTCTCTGACCCTCCCCTGCTCACTCTGTCTCTAAGAAATAAACTTTTTTAAAAAAATTTTAATATAAAGAAGGAAAAGGACAAAGAAGGAAGTAAAAATATGATTTTAAGTATATGTGGGAAGAAGGGTAATTTTCCCCACTGATCTGTTCATTTTACCTTCTAAAATAGTCACACTGAAGAGTTTCGTGTGTGTCCATGTGATAGCCTTTTAACTTTGAAATGGGTTCCCTTGCTGAGAAACATGGTTTCGACAGCATGGTAAAGCCACCCTCGCTGCACTGCGTTGGGAGCTGCCCTAGAACCCTCAGAGCGCCACCTTCCGGCCCGCTCTCTAACTCACTCATGCCCTGGACAAGGAAAGAAAACCGCATCTCCTCCTTCAATAAGAGCCTAGACAGGGCAGCACCTGGCAGATGTGGTTCTGGTGTCCCTAGAGCCCAGCTCAAGACTTGGCATATGTCTCATTTGCTTCTCACGATAGTCTTGTGACTCCTTTTTTTACTGATAAGGACATTAAAGGTCACACCATTAATCAGTATGTGACAGAGGCAGGGCTTGAAAATTTAGCTAAAGAGGGGAAAGAAAGATGAGGAAACAAGTACAGTTGGAAGAGATAGGCAAACAGACACCAAGGGCAACCTCCTTAATTCCTCAGTTGCAGATGCGGGGGCCTGGGAGGCTGGAGCACATGCCCTGCCCACTCTGTCCACTCTTTTATGGTGAGATGGGGCTGGGATCTGATACCTCAGCCTCATGGGTCCCCTGATCTGGAGCAAGCCACTCTCAATCAGTTGGCCTTCCTGACTTGTAATTAAAGGAGGGGACTTCCTGGCTCAGCCCCTCCTGCTCTGATGATCTATGAGGACAAGGACCAGGTGCCATAGGTGCCATGGATATGACAAACCAAGAGTAAATGCCACATTCGGGAAGATGAAACCTCGATTGGAAAAAGAGTTGGGCTTGTTTCTCTAGAGAGAAAGAAGCAAGATGCATCACCAGCCTGGGATGCTTTGGAGCTCAGCCAGCCCTGGCTTGTTCTACTTGCCCACTTGGCATACACCACATAGGAAATTCAGTCCTTCCAGAGGCCAGGAGGGTGTTGTTTCCCCTTGCAGAGACGGGAGGTTGAACCCTAGCAGGATCACCTCCTGGTTAAGCTGTGAATTCAAGCATTAGAATCCCTGCACCGCCTCATACTGGTTGTGAGACAATATGTCACAAGAAGTCACTCACCTCATCCCCTAGAGCCTCAGATTTTAAGCTATAAAAGGGGACAAGAAGAGTACCCACTTCAGGGTTGTTTTAAGGATTAACTGAAGTGGTGATAGTGACAAGTTTCACCCAGAACATTCGTTCTCAATGGTACACCCAAAGGAATAAAAAATGGTTGTCAGGGAGGGAAAGAATTTAGCTCTTTTTATGTATAAGGTAGCAATATAGCAATACACACAAAATACATAGTATAACTGCAGTATCAGGGGGTTACCACACAAAAACATATGCATGAGGAACTCTCATATATCACCAGGAATGTAAAATGATGCAGCCACTGTGGAAAATCCTTTGGTGGTTCCTCAATAAATTAAGCAGTTACCACAGGATCCAGCAACTGCATCTTAGGTATGTGCCCAAGAGAACTGAAGACAGGTTTTGAAACAAAAACTTGTAAACGAATGTTTATTCACAATAGCACAAAGGTGGAAATAACTCAAATGTCCATCAGCTGATGAATGGATAGGATAGAATGTGATCTAGACACAGAATGGAATGTTATTGAGCCATAAAAAGGAATGACGTCCTGATTCATGCTAGGTTCACCTAGATGAACCTTGAAAACGTTACGCTGAATGAAGGCAGTCAGACACAAAATGTCATATATTGAATAACTCCCCATTTCTATTAAATGTCCAGAATAAGCAAATCCATAGAAATGGAAAGTAGATTAGTGGTTGCCAAGGGCTGGAGAGTTGAGGAGGCCAGCAGGGGTGAAGTTACCGGCAAAGGGGAGTGACTGCTAATGGTTACAGGTTCCTTTTGGGAGGAAGGAAAATGTTTCAGAATCAGACAGTGGTTGAGCACCTTGTGAATATGCTTTAAAATACACTGCTGAATTGTACACTTTAAAAGGGCGAATTTTATGGTACGTGAATTATATCTCAATAAAGCTGTCGTTTTTAAATGTTCAGGAAAAAAAATGTATAAAAAGGCTGGCGGGGGTAGGGGAGGAAAGGACAAGAATGAAATTAAATCAGATCTATAATCTGATAACTGAAGCCCTTGGGGCCAGATACGTTTCTAACTTCAGACTATTTTGGACTTTAACAGTAATATGCTGCACATACACGTAACCATCCGGCAAGGTTCAGGACAGCACCTGGTAAACCAACATTAAAATTTCCACAGGAAAATAGATGTGTTTTCACACTGAATGAGCTCATAAGGACTGAGGGTCTTCACTGTCCAGTACAGAAACCACATGTGATTGCTCTGCTCCTGAAATGAGGCTAGCCTGAGCTGAAATGTGCCTAATTGTAAAATGCCAGGTTTCAAAGACGTAATCTGATAAAATGATATTGTAAAAAATGTTACAAGGTTGATCATATTTATATTGGTTACAAGTTGAAATGACGTTTTGAATCCATTGGTTCAAATAAAATAGATCATTAAAATTCATTTCACCTGCTTTTCTTTACTTTTTTTTTAGTTTATTTATTAATTTTGAGAGAGAGGAAGAGAGATCATGAGGGCGGGGCAGAGTGAGGGGGACAGAGAATCCCAAGCAGTTTCCATGCTGTCAATGCAGAGCCTGACGTGGGGCTCAAACTCATGAACCATGATCTGAGCCAAAACCAAGAGGTGGACGGTCAGCCAGCTGAGCCACCCAGGTGCCCCTTCTCTATTTTTTTCTTAAATGCAATTATTAGGAAATTTTTAAGTACCCATGTGCTCTGTCTTTGCAGCTCATACTCTGTTTCTACTGGACAAGCAGGCAGGCACTGCCCTAAGAAATCTTCTGTCTGTTCTGGAAGATGTGCCTTCAAACAGCTTATTCCAAACTTATTTTTAAAAACAAAAAAAAGCAAGGTGCTGGGTTGCTGAGTCGGTTAAGCATCGGACTTCAGCTCAGGTCATGATCTCCAGGTTTGTGAGTTCGAGCCCCGCGTCAGGCTCTGTGCTGACACCTCGGAGGCTGGAGCTGCTTCAGATGCCATCTCTCCCTCCCTCTCTCTGCTCCTCCCCCACTCACGATCTGTCACTCACCCTCACAAAGTAAATAAACACTAGTAAAAAAATAAGGCAAACTCCTTTTCGTCTCAGTGCCTTTTGATTTCTAGAGTATAAGTGCATTGGGAGAACCAAGATGTAGCCCACAGGCCTGGGAATCAGGAATGAGAAGGAAAGGGTGTTAGGTGGCAGCTCGGGCTGCCTCCACTCCAGGCAGGGTCTTCTCCCCACTGCCCCACCCCCCACCCTAGGCACTGAGACTCCTGCAGCTGCCCCTCCCAGAGCCCTCTGCCAGGCCAGCCCAGCCTGCTGGGTCAGTCCTGCCCACCCCCTGTCTGCAGTGCTGCAGGGGAGGAGCAAGGAGGAACGGGCTGGAGGCGGGTGTGTGGGGCGGGCCACCCCAGGGCTGAAGCACGGCACCGACTCGACTCCGCCGAGGGCCAGCCATGCCCAGCCCAGGCCTCCTGCTCCTGCTCTTGCTGCTGGCAGCGCCACCACCGCTGCGACCCTCCTCGCTGGCACCACCGGACACTCCAGAGGGCAAAGCCACCATCACGGGCCTCATCCTCTCCGCACTGGACAGAGCCACCTCCTTCCTGGAGAGGAGGCTGCCTGAAATCAACCTGGAAGGCGTGGTGGGGTTCCGGGTGCTGGAAGGTGGGTGCGCTCTCGTTACCCTGGACTTGGCCACTGGAAAACCAGTGTACCCCTGGGACCTGGCGACTTCCCGGCCACTGAAATGTCCTACTCTGACCATAAGGAAAGAAGGGCTGGGCAGCTTGCTCCTTTTGGGTGTCTTGGGGCCCTGCTATACTCAGTTATTTTAGAAGCAAGAAGGATTCAGAGGCCACATGAGAAAAAAATTGGAAATTGTTTTCCTAGGAGGAAATGATTCATTTGACAGCCCCTCTCCTGTTATGTCATGAACAAGGTGGGCAGAGGGAACGTGCTCTTTCAAGGGGCATTTATGGGAAGGTGCCTGTGAACAAAGCCAGGAACCTTCAAGATCAGGTTCCAACTCCACTCCCCCTACTTCTAGCTAAAGCCATCTGAAGCCTCCAAGAAAAAAGCCAAGTGTTTGTTCAGCTTCCAGGGATATAAGATCCTCATAGAGGGAGCTGGTAACCGGCCAAGGCAAATAAGGAGCCACCCCACACTCACTTGGAGTTGCAGGAAGCTCCTCTAAGAAGGCCACCTTGACCTAAGTGACAAAGAACTGACCTGGAATCGGCCTGAGGCTCTGTCTGGCCCCCCTTTCACACCATCCCCCTCTGGGTGGCCAGTGCAGCTTGCCACCCACCACCCACCTGGACTCCAGGTTCCAGCAGAAGGAGGGGCTCTGGGACAGGTCTGCCTCCATGCCCAGCCCCCCAGTGTCCTCCCCCCCTGCCCCCCCGCCCCCCCGTGGGGCATCCTGGAACCCAGTAAGATCCAAGATCCTCTCAGGCTGGGACCAGGGTCTCCATTTAATCTCAGCCACACCCTGTAAAACCTCTAGAAATACATAACAGTAAAAAACCACAGGACTGGCTACCCCATTAGGCATAGGATACTTTCAGGGGCCCACGAAAATGTTTTCATTTCTCTTGAAGTCAGAAGGAATAAAAATGAATTTCTAGATCGAAAAGAATGCTGTAATATATAATGTAAACATATCTGTCTTTATACCAATGTAGTTGTAAGACATAACCTTTTTTTAAAAATATTTTATTTATTTTTGACAGAGAAAGAGAGAGCACGGGAAGGGCAAAGAGAGAGGGAGACAGAATCTGAAGCAGGCTCCCAGCTCTGAGTTGTGAGAACAGAGCCCGACACAAGGCTTGAAGTCAGGAACCATGAGATCATGACGGGAGTCAAAGTTGAAGCACAACTGACTGAGCCACCCAGGCGCCCCATAAGACATAACCTTTAATCTATTTTTTTAAATCCTTTTTGATGTTTATTCTTTAGAGAGCTTGAATGGGGGAGGGGAAGAGAGAGAAGGGGACAGAAGATCTAAAGCAGGCTCCAGGCTCTGTGCTGACAGCAGACAGCCCAATGTGGGGGGTCACACTCATGAACCACAAGATCATGACCCAAGCTGAAGTCCAACACTCAATCAGCTAAGCACCAGGTCCCCCCAATCTATTTTTTAATAAAGGAAGGAACCCACAAAGCCATGGCATGTGGCCTAGAAACATGCCTTGGATATTACCTGGGTACCCACTGTAATCCCCAAACAGCCCAGAGGGGAAGTGATTTGCTTTGCTCTTTCTGCAGGTGGGGACTCAAGATCAGAGGTTCAGCAGCCTCCCTATTCCTCACAGCTGATAGGCAGGGGGTCTACTATTCAAACCCAACTGCTCTGACAGCCCTTGAGAGCAGGGTGGGCACACACTGACTTTCCTGACCATCCTGGATGTCAAGCGCAGCACTGGACAGTGGTTGAATAAACATTCCTGAAACCAGGCAACAGACCCTTGTCAATAATAGTCCCATGGGTCTGTCAGTTCCTTATGGAGAGAGAAGGGAAGGACAGGTGGCTCCCTTGATGGAGTGCTTTCTCGGGTCCGTGAGATAATAAAAAATAAGGCTCACTAAGTACCCACCTAGCACTGGCACAATGTAAATGTTTGCATGGGGTAATTCACTGACTCTCCACAGCCGTTGAAGTTAAGTTCATTATGATTATCCTCTTTTTACCAATGAGGGGACAGGCTTTAGAGAAGTCCAAGGTGGGGTGCTTGGGTGGCTCAGTTGATTGAGCCTCTGACTCTGGATTTTGGCCCAAGTCATGATCCCAGGGTCATGGATTGAGCCCCACATTGGGCTGTGCACTGGCCATGCAGCCTGCTTAGGATGAGAGAGAGAGAGAGAGAGAGAGAGAGAATGTCCAAGGTCACACGTCGAGTAAGTGTAGGAGGTGGGCTCAGAACCCTGCTCTGACTCAGCGCCCATTCTCTGAACCATTACAGGGTAGAGGTGGCTGGGAAGGAGGAAGATAATGGCTCACACCAACACCACACAACAGCCTCAGACCAGGGCCACCCCCTCCTCCCTCCTCTCCTCTCCACAGCTTTGCCCTTTGCCTTTGCAATAACCTACTGAGGCATAACAAATTTTCTCCTAACTTAACTGCAGAAAACAACAAAACAGTTACCGTCTCACCACTTCTGTTTGTCAGGAATCTGCAATTTGACTGGGTGGTTCTGGCTCAGGGTCTCACGTGAGGTTGGAGGCAAGATGTCAGCCAGGGCTGTGATCATCTGAAGGCTTGGCTGGGGCAGGCGTGGTCACCCAGTTTACTCCCAGGCCTGGCAAGTTAATGCCGGCAGGTGGCTGGAGGCCTCAGTTCCTCACCACGTGTAACTTCCCATAGGGCTGCTTGAGTGACCTTGCAAGATGGCAGCCAGCTTCCCTGAGAGCAAGGGACGCCACAGAGAGAAAAACAGAAGCCTCAATGTCTTTTACAACCAAGCTTGGAGGTTACATACCATCATTTCCCAAGTTTCTCTTTGGTTTTAAGGGTCAGCCCGTACAATGCAGGAAGGGCTTCAAAGGGCATGAAAACCGCTGGCTGTCACAGCACTCACTGTGAGGGTCCTACCTTCGTTCTCAGCCTCCCAAAAGAGCAAGAAGGATTTCACATTCTTGGGGGTCCAATAGCAATGGGATACCCATCGATCTTCTGGATCGTTTCTGCTCAGAGGTAGACAGGTGGACATTGACCTTAAGGGAGAAAAGGGTCCCTCCAACTACCTCCACCCCCTGGGAGGGTGACCCAGAAGGTGGCAGCAGCAGCCACACAGGCAGGGAGAAATAGGAACAAGACTCAGGACGCAGCACCACTGTGAGGCCAGGTCGGATTCATCTCACTGATGACTCGGCTACCCCTTCTGGGTGCCAGCACAGTATCTTCCATCTGCTTTAGAGCCATGCAGTCTGGAACAAGGCTTTGGAAGCAGATGGCCTAGGTTCAAAGGCAAGGAAAGAGCCAAGCCTGGAGAAGGGTGCCACAGAGCCCATCACCCCAAAAGATTTGCTCAGCACCCTCCTAAACCTCATCCAACCTCCCCATCAAAGTTGTTTACCTGAAGCAGAGAACAATTCAGGCCATCTCTTACCTTCTCAGCCCTGTGTTGAGGCTTTCCCTCACATCTCCTCTCTTGACCACCTCTTACCGTCCCCCACCCACCACCGTCGCACCATTTTCTCCCAACCCTTTAGGACCACTGCTAATCCATAATGCACTTTTGTGAAAATTAGAAACAAATGTCTCCTTCCTCAAGTCATTTGCCTGCCATCTGCTGGAAATTTGTCTTAATACATATACAAACCCGTGATAGGAATATGTGCAGCTCTTGTGCAATGTACAACATACTCAACTGTACACAATAGCTCTCCACACTGCATCTGAATCCCTCCCTCATTTTTTTCTCCTGTACAGCAAGCCTTAAATGTCCCTAATTGCTACTTATATCTAAACTTTATTGAGTGCTTCCTTTGTTTTGTTTTGTTTTTTAATTTTTTTTAATGTTTTATTTATTTCTGGGAGAGAGAAAGCGTGAGCAGGGGAGGGCCAGAGAGAGAGGGAGACACAGAATCTGAAACAGGCTCCAGGCTCTGAGCTAGCTGTCAGCACAGAGCCCAACATGGGGCTTGAACCCACAAACTGTGAGATCATGACCTGAGCCGAAGTCGGATGCTTAACCGACTGAGCCACCCAGGTGCCCCTGAGTGCTTCCTTTGTACTGTGGACAATGTTAAATCCTCTCTTCAGTAGTTCATTTAATCCTTATAATTCCCACTCCAAGAAGTAAGGGCCATCATTACCCCCATTTTATAGATGAAGAATGTAAAATGAAAAGAAATTACATATCTTTCTCTGGCCACCCAAAAAGAAAGTAATAGAGCCAGGATCTGAACCCAGGCCCACCTCCAGAAATCAAGCTCTTAGCTGCCATTTCCAGCATTTTGGTCTCCCCACCACCATCACCCAGCTGAGCCCCACAAGACCTAATTTCTAATAAGCTCACTGAATTCCTTCTTCTCAGGAGCTGGAGAAGGCAGAGAGACTCAATAAGCATTATAGCTTAGGATAATTTTTCCTGTCCAAATGATTTGCCAAATGATGGAATGAATGATCTCTTTTCCTTTCCAGTGCAGCTAAAAGGCGTTCAGGAAAAATGGGCCTGGGACCCCCAGCTGCAGCCACTGAGCCTGAGGGTGGGGAAGCTGGTGGACAAGCTAGCGCCTCTCCTTCACAGATCCATGTTCTACCTCAGGCTGAGTGACCCTAAGTACCTAAGAGGTAATAGCAGGAGTGGGGGATGAGAATCTTATTTTTTTCAAAAACATAGCCTCTAGGGGTGCTCCTTCCAGGGTAAGGGACAACCTGTAACCAACTGAGTCCTGTGGGCCAGGCCCACCACAGGCTGACCCCGAGGAGTGTTTGGTCATCCTTGACTGGGTTGAAATGACCTCTCCCACCCACACGGGAACTGGTGCAGTGAGGGCTGAGAGTAGGAAACACGTCTCCCCCTCATTTGCTTAGCTCCCCCCAGGTTTGGGAGCCTTTATTCTAGACCAAAGGGGAGAGTCTGGTCTGTCCCAGAGAATGGGATACCTCAAAGGTAGTTCAGCCCTTTGTGCAGCAAATATTAGCATCTTGCTAATATCTCTCTTGTGCCTTAAAATGCTAAGGGTCTCTGACCCACCCTATAAACCTGGAATGAATCATTCCTGGGGGTGGTGAAGGAGGGAGACTTCTAAAACCAGCCCCTTATACTTGTCCAGTCCTGCCTTACAGGCTCCCAGCTCCCAGTCGGACTGTGGGAGTGAGTGGGGAGATAACTGGCCAGTCCCCCCTTCCTTCTCTGTCACAGTCCTGCTGCACATGACCATACCACAGCCCTCCCTACCTCCGACATCCAGGCCCCCCACCCTCACCCAGGCCCAGCCCTAGGACTATCCCAACCTGTGTCACCCTAAAGAAACCCTTGGCTGGGCATCTGTTTTGTAAGAGCTCCACTTCCTAACCAAATCGAAGGAGTCAACTAACCCTTTTCGTGTGTCTTGAGCTTCCAGGGGATGCAGTAGATTTGGTCAAAGCCTTTCCCAACACTATTCCTATGGATTAAAATTTTTTTTTATTTTTAGAAGAAGAGTTTCCTGAGTGTTCCAAACACAATGTACAACCAGCAGGCAAGGTTCCAAGCCCTGAGTAGGCACTTGTGTGTGGTCAGGGGTGACAGGGGAGGGACACCTAGTTTCTTGGCTTGGGGCTGCAGGAGCCTGGAGGAACTTAGGTATAGGATGCCCACTGCCCTGGGTGTTTTCCCTCACCCCCACCTCTCTTCCAGAGTTCCAGTCAACCATCCAGCCTGGGTTTTGGAAGCTTCCACGTGTCTGGACCTGCACAGATGCCTCCATGGTCTACCCCACGTTTGAGACGCAGGACTCCTTCTCAGAGGAAAGCAGTGACTCATGCCTGGTGCAGCTGCTGGGAACAGGGTGGGCCCCTGAACTTGCCCCACTTCCAAAAAAACCCAAAAGCACTTGCTCTCTGCTTGTCCTCTCATTCCACACACTCTCTAAGTCCCTAAGGGTCTGTGTGAAACCAGGCACGGCCACCCCCCACCCCAGACACCTTGACACCAACCTCTCCCACCCCCCATTGCACCCAAGCTGCCCCCTAACTCTCCACTCAAGACTTCAAGCCTGGTCCAAACATGCACCCCACCCCACCCCACCCCCCACCGTCTCCCACACTAGAAGGATCCTTTCAAAAACCACATTTGAAACTCCCGCCTACTGTATGATGCTTCCTATTGTTCTCAGAACAAAGCCCCAACTCCTACTGCCCTTCCAGATCTCCAGGCTCCTGAGTCCAACCCCTGAGGCTCTTACCAGACTCTCAAAAGTACCTACTCTGTCCCACTTCTAAACCTATGCCTGTGCCCAGCTGGCCTCTGTGGGCCTTCTCCCACCCTGCCCCACCCCACCCCCATGCCTAAGTAACTCTGCCCATACTTCAGGGCCGCCCCCAGCATCCTTCCTCCAGAACCTTCCCTGACCCCACTGCACAGGCTGACCTCCCTTGGTGGGCTTGCTCTCTTAGCACCACTGGTAGCCATAGATACATTTTACATTTGTCTTATGGTTCTGCCCCTTCACTGGGCTGTAGGCCTCTTTCAGAGGCCTGGATCCAGCAGGACTGGATCCCCGTTAGGCTCACCATTTTACCCCACTGTGCAATGGGTTCGTGGGCTTGGAGCAAGCCCTGAATCAGCCCAAGGTTCAGGATCTGTTGTTTAGGGCAGTGTGGAAAGGCTGTACTTGGGTATCCTGTGCAATAACAGGAAGTCGCTGCCCCTGGAGCCCCTCTAACCCAGGATAACTGCAGCATCACCTCCCCCATGCTGGGGTACCGATTTAGCAAATCAAGTCACAGTACACCTGTGCTTTATCCAGCAACCTCTTGTGCACAGCTGGGTGCCTGGAAACTACCAGGGTTCTAATAACTAGTGGGAGAATAGGGACCAGGGACATCTCCATGTCTTCAGGCCTCCTTTAGGACACCCTTTCTCTAGGGCCTGAACCACTCTTCCCCCAGGACCGATGGCGACCAGCCCTGCAGGCTCTCAGACTTCTGCAGAACCCTCATGACCAAGCCCGGGTGCTCAGGCTATTGCCTGTCTCACCAGCTGCTCTTCTTCCTCTCGGCCAGAATGGTGAGTGCCCTGCGTGGGCCGGCCATGCACTCAGAGGAGAAAGAAAGGTAAAGAGGGGCTGGCACACCTGGGTGGTGCAGTCAATTAGGCATCTGACTCTTGATCTTGGATCAGGTCATGATCTCATGATCCATGAGTTCAAACCCTGCATTGGGCTCTTGCACTGGCGGTGCAGAGCCTGCTTGGGATTCTGTCTCTCCTTCTCTCTGACACTCCCCTGCTGTGTTCTCTCTCTTTCTCTCTCTCTCTCTCTCAAAATAAATATGGTACCCACCAGGAAAACAAGCAGGTTTTTGGACTTATACTTTGGGCATCAGGAGGGAGAAGTAAGAGTAGCCTGCCATAGGGGCACCTGGGTGGCTCAGCCGCTTAAGCATCTGACTCTCAGTTTGGGCTCAGGTCATCATCTCATGGTTCATGAATTCAAGCCCCACGTCAGGCTCTGCGCTGACAGCATGGAGCCTGCTTGGGATTCTCTGTCTCCCTCTCTCTCTGCCCCTTCCCCACTCATGCTTGCTCACTCTATCTCTCCAAAAAAAAAAAAAAAAAGAGTAGCCTGTCACCCATCCACTATAACATTGAACTAAACCAGAGGGGGTGGGGAAAGGGATTCTGTTGGACAGATAGCTTTGCATCCTGAACTGGATCATAGGCATCTGAAAAACAAGAAGAGAAAAAGAATAAAAGAGAAGCAGCAGAAAGAACTTAGTAAACAACAACAAACTGAAAAGGATTTAGAATACTTGGTCCATAGCAGCTTCCAGGAAACCAAGCCAAGACATGCCAGCCCCACCCCCCACCTCCTGCTCTTCCAAGCCCAGGAGCTCAAACTTTGCTAAATAATAACACAGTTTCTTAAATTTTTATTTATTTATTTATTTTTGAGAGAGAGAAAGCAAGCATGAGGGAGAGGCAGAGAGAGAGAGGGAGAGAGAATCCCAAGCTATCAGCACAGAGCCTGAGAGCCTAATGCGGAGCTCAGTCTCACAAATCATGAGATCATGACTTGAGCCAAAATCAAGAGTCAGACTCTCCTTTTTTAAAAATATTTTTAATGTTTATTTATTTTTGTGAGCGAGAGCGAGCATGAGCAGGGGAAGAGCAGAGAGACAGGGTGACACAGAATCTGAAACAGGCTCCAGGTTCTGAGCTGTCAGCACAGAGCCCGATGCGGGGCTCGAACTCACGAACCACGAGATCATGACCTGAGCCGAAGTTGGACGTTTAACTAACTGAACCACCCAGGCACCCAAAAGTCAGACTCTTGACCAATGAAGTCACCCAGTCGTTCCGATAATGATAATAATTTTTAAACATATGTATTTCCTTATATAGAAAGGTGAGTCTCATTATCTCTATTGAAAGATGTTATTCCATGTCCAGAAATCCTTAGCTGAAAAGGGACTTAATATTTTTGTTTGGCAGATTTTTTAAAAAACTGTTAGTTATGTGCAAGCTGTCACAGTCCAGTATGTCCATAAATACAATAAAAATCAAAATACAAGGAAAATTATTTTTTAATTTTAATAAAATTTTAAATATAAAAATAAAATTTAAAATAATTTAATTAAAAATAAAAACATTTTTTAATTTAAATTAAATTATTTTAAATTATTAGATCGGACAGGTAGAAAGCCACTCTGACACATTGCTACAGAAGTTTCTAAAGCCTCTTCTCATCTCCTGTCTTGTCCCTGAGACCGGTCCATGGCCCACCCTTTGAGCAGCACTGAAGCTGCCAGCAGGATTAGCCTGGAATCTGAATGTGACCACAGCTAATACTATAGTGTCTTCTTCAGTGTAGGGCTTGTATCTGGCACTTCCTAACCCTTCCATGTGAGTGCCTCTGGTGTGGCTCCCAGTAGCATTGTCCTTTCCCCATGTCGACCCTTGAGGCTCAGAAAGGTTAACATAGCTGGCCAAGGTCACATAGCTCCTGAGTGGCAGAGTCTGGATTCAAACCCAACTCTTTCTGGTCCCCCAGTGACAGAGTCTCCAGCATGTGGGGTGTGTAGATGGGGAAGAAATTCTGGGAAAGGGGGAAAGAGCTTCCCCCAAAGGTAGCCACCTGCCAGACCATCTGAGAAATGCAAGTCTTCTGTAACAGAGTACGGGTCTGTCACCCATGCCATTGACATCCTTATCTCTGGGTGTTTGTCTCCCCAGAAGGGATGCACGGAGGGGCTGTTCCACCACAGCCAGCACTACATGAACCTCTTTTGTGCCAACATGATGGACCTGAACCGGAGAGCTGAGGCCATCGGATATGCCTACCCCACCCGGGACATCTTCATGGAAAATAGTGAGCCCTGGCATTGCACCCTAGGGACAAGGCAGTTGGGTGTCCCTGATTCACAGGGTGTGCACACACACACACACACACACACACACACACAGAGTCAGATACAGCAAATAAAAATACAGGGTGCCCAGGTAAATTTGAACTTATGATAAACTGAATACATTTGTAGTATAAGTATATCCCCGAAATTTCATGGGATATATTTATGCTTTAAAATTTGTATTTGTATTTATTGGAAACTCAAATTTAACTGTTCATCCCATATTTTATCTGTCACTATGTGACTGTTTCCTGCCCCCAAAGGCTGACTCAGTGATGGAACTCTGGACCCACTGACTAGCTCATAAATAAAGACCTTGAAGCCTCAGAGATGAGGCAGAAAAGGGGTCTCTGGGTGGCTGCTCCCTGGCTTGGGTGTCTGGATCCCTCTACTGACCCCAACTCTTTTTCTTTTTTTAATTTTTTGATGTTTCATTTATTTTTGAGAGAGAGAGAGACAGAGACGGGGTATGAGCAAGGGTGGGGCAGAGAGAAAAGGAGACACGGAATTCATGAGGCAGGCTCCAGGCTCTGAGCTGTCAGCACAGAGCGCAACGCGGGCTCAAACCCATGAATCACAAGATCATGACCTGAGCGGAAGTTGGACGCTTAACCAACTGAGCAACCCAGGCGCCCCTATTGACCCCAACTCCTGAGTGACTGTAATGGAGAGTCTCAATGGGAGACAGGACTAGTCATTGAGCACCCACCTCCTGGTGCTGCCTCATCTTGGCGGGAGGAGGCAGGTGGCGCTGCGCAGCCTTGGGCAGCGGAAGCAGGTGGGCTTGGAGGACAGACCTGAAGGAGGTCCTCTGTCTTTGCTTCCAGTCATGTTCTGTGGAATCAGTGGCTTCTTAGACTTCTACAAGCTCCGGTGGCTGGAGGCCATTCTCAACTGGCAGAAGCCACGGGAAGGATGCTTCGGGAGGCCTGGTGAGCAGCACTTCCACCCTGGCTGGGAGCAGGCGGGTGGCTGGGGGCTGGATTTCTAGGCCAAGTGAGGGAAGGTGATGCAGTGGTGTTAAGGTCTCAAAGAGAGATTTGCTTCATGTATGTGCATGCAAACACACTCATGAACACACACACACACACACATACACACACACATGGAAATGGGCTCAGACTTTTAAAGCCAAAACTCTGTAGAAGGAGAGACAGTCTTATTGGAAGATGTTGGCCTCTGAGCCTACATTAACAAACCCATTCCTTCAATGCTCAGGGGAGCATCTGCTCTGTGCCAGACACTCTTCTAGGCCCCGGGGGAAACTAAGGCCCTGAAGAAAAGAGACAGAAACCACCTAAGTTAACCAGTAAGTGAAATAATTGTGAGTTCTGATAAGGGCTGTGAAGGAGACAACAGGCTGAGAAAGAAAAGAATATGGAAGACAGCTCTTTGGGCAGGAGTGGTCAAGGGAGATGTCTGAGAGGGTGACATAGAAGCAGAGGCAGGGAGGCAACTGCCTTTCCCGCTGTGTGACCCTGGGCAGCTGGTCCTCTTTGGAGTAAGTCCCTTCACCTCCCTGAGCCCTGATTTCCTCATCTGCAAATAAATGAGTATAATAATCTCCTTTCTGAGCTGTGGGGAGCAAACATAATACATAGGAAACTACCTGTCCTGTGCATGATACAGAGGAGGGTCCCAATAAATGCAGTTTAGGATGCTTTGCAAGGAGACAAAGGTGGGTTTTTTTTTAATGTTTATTTATTTGTTTTTGAGAGAGAGAGAGAAAGAGAAAGCATGCACACATGAGTGGGGGAGGGACAGAGGGAAAGAAAGCAAATCCCAAGCAGGATCTGCACTGTCAGTGCAGAGCGTGATTCAGGGCTCAATCCCATGAACTGAACGGAAGATCATGACCTGCGCCGAAATCAGGAGTCGGAAGTTCAATCGACTGAGCCACCCAGGTGCCACAAGGAAAAGCTTTTGAAATAAAGATAGTCTGCTTTTATTTTTTTTTTAAAGGTAATTGCTTTCCTTTTTTTTTTATAATGTTTTATTTATTTCTAGGAGAAAGAGAGAGAGAGAGAGAGAGAGAGAGAGACAGCGTGAGCAGGGGAGGGTCAGAGACAGAGGGAGTCACAGACCGAAACAGGCTCCAGGCTCCGAGCTGGCAGTCAGCACAGAGCCCGACGCGGGGCCCGAACCCACGAACCGCGAGATCATGACCTAAGCGAAAGTCGGACGCTTAACCGACTAAGCCACCCAGGCGCCCCATAAACTCCTCTGTTTTAAAAGCAGACTATCTTTGGGGTACCTGGGTGGCTTAGTCGGTTAAGCGTCCGACTTTCGCTTAGGTCATGATCTCGCGGTTCGTGGGTTCGGGCCCCGCGTCGGGCTCTGTGCTGACTGCCAGCTCGGAGCCTGGAGCCTGTTTC